ATGCATGAAGAGGCCATTGAAGACTATGACAGGAGCATTGGGCTGGACCCGAACTCAGCCAGCGCATTCAGCAATCGGGCAATTGCTAAGAGTGAGCTTGGCATGCATCAAGCAGCCATTGAAGACTATGACAGAGCAATCGAGCTAGAGCCCAACTCCGCAAGTGCCTTTGGCAACCGTGCATTGGCTCACCTCCGGCTGGGTATGCATGAAGCAGCTGTGGATGACTATGGCAAGGCGATTGAGCTGGCCCCGAACTTTGCAAGTGCATTCTGCAACAGGGCCTTAGCAAAGAATCGCTTGGGCATGCATCAAGAGGCAGTTGAAGACTGCAACGAGGCTATTAGGATGGACAGCCAGCTTGTAAGTGCTTACAGCTACCGTGCTGAAGCCGAGTTCAGGTTGGGCATGTACAAGGCGGCCATTGAAGATTATGACAAGGTCATTGAGCTCGACCCCAGTTCTTCAAGAGCCTTCATCAACCGGGCTTTGGTGAAGAGAAGGCTGGCCAAGCACGACGAGGCGGTGGACGATTGCAGCCACGCCATTTCCCTGCACCCCAACTCTGCAAGCGCATTCTTCAACCGTGCCTTGGCTGAGAGCGAGATGGATTTGCATCAAGAGGCTCTTGAAGACTGCACCAGGGCTATCAAGCTGGATCCTAAGTCTTCGAGTGCATCGTACAATCGGGGCTTAGTGAAGTTTAAGCTGGGCAGGTATCAAGGGGCCATCGAGGATTTTTGCGGTGCCATTGAGCTGGACCCCAAGAATAGCAGTGCCTTCTGCAATCGTGCCGTGGCCAAGTTCAATTTGGGCATGCACCAAGAGGCAGTTGAGGACTACAACAGGGCCATTGAGCTTGACCAAAACTTTGCACGTGCTTTCTGCAACCGCGCTTTGGCGAAAAGCGAGCTGGGGATGCATCAAGCAGCGCTGGAAGACTGCAACCAGGCTGTTAAGCTGGACCCGAAGTTAGTCAGTGCTTTCAATAATCGGGCCTTGGCACAGATCAGGCTGCGCATGTATCAAGCAGCAATTGAAGACCTCAACATGGCCATCGAGCTGGAGCCTAACTTGGCTGGTGTGTTCAGCCATCGATTTCCAGTCAACAACCATGCGCTGATGCTCTGCAATCGTGCTTTGGCCAAGAATGAGTTGGGCATGCACCAAGAGGCTCTTGTAGACTACAACCGGGCCATTGAGCTGGAACCACGGTCAGCACGTGCCTTCAACAACCGTGGCTCGGCCAAGTTCAGGCTTGGGATGACCGCAGCTGCACTGGAAGACTTCGACAAGGCCATTCAGCTGGAGCCCACCTTTGCATGGGCCTTGTGCAACCGTGGCTTGGCGAAGATTGCGCTGGACAGGAATGAAGCGGCCATCGAAGACTGCAACAGGGCCCTCGAGCTGGAGCCCCATTTTTTCAGCGCCTTCTACAACCGTGCTTTGGCACAGTCCAAGCTGGGTCTGCATCAGGACGCCATTGAGGACTACAACAAGTCCATCAGACTGAACCCCAGGTCTGAAAGTGCTTACTACAACCGCGCCTTAGCCAAGTTCAACCTGGGCATGCACGAAGCGGCGGTCGCAGACTATGACAAGGTGACCTGGCGCTAAGTTAGGTCTTCTCCAATTCATGTCGAATCCCTTAAGGTTTCGAATCGGGCCCTGCGAAGCCGCCGTGCTTTTGAGTGGACGTTGGGTGTTTGAAGCGGCATGTCAGCTGCTGGGCCGGAGGGCGTAGCTTTGGAGATCACTGAGAGTTCTCTGACCTTCTACCCGGGGCTCGCAGCCGCTTTGCCACATGAAAGGTTGCTTAGTCAACAGGTTTCCAACATGTTCCGACTATTGGAGCCGAATACCTTGGGGATGCGGGAGAGAGGCATGCGGGGTGAATAGGGATGCAAAGTTAGTTGGGGGGGGAGCCCCCAAGTCAATACATCCATCCGAACATTCCGTATCTGCAAGACATGTACGACAACAAAAATCCAGCTGGAGGTCCCTGTCCATAGGCCGCTGACCGAACCCTAGGCGGTTCGGACCCCCGGGACTGCCAGCCCTGGGCCAAGGCAATTCAGCTGGATCCCATCGCACGGAGCTTCTGCAATCGTGCCTCATTCGAAAGAAACAGGTGGAGCTTGTTGAAGTCTTATGAAATTCTTGTATTAACATCCATTCATTCATTTGATTATGACATTATGTTTACTACATTTTACTATGCTTTTACGATATTTTATTGATAATTCATGTTACTTTTTTTCGCCATCTTACTTGGCATCCGGCATCCTTGCCCGATCTTGTCACCTTTCGGCGTTTCGGCCTCAGATCGGGTCAGGCTCGTTCTGGCCGGTCGAGGGCAGCGAGCCAGCGACCGACCGTCGTGCCAGGTGCCTTGGCGAACTTCCACCTGGGCCTCTACGACGTGGCGCTGGAGGACTACGATCGAGCTCTGCGCTTGGAGCACTCCGCGGTGGCCTTCTACAACCGTGCCCTGGTGGAGGCGCGCAGAGGCAAGTATGAATCAGCCGTTTGGACTGCAAGGTGTGGTTGACAAGGGGCGAAGATGGTGGTGGCAGGTGGTTGCACCAAACTCTTTGGCAAGGTGTTTGGGGCTGCAGTTCTTTGGGCCTCCTATTTTTGGGCGAGCTACGGTGACCCACATGTTGAGTGCCAGAACGCCTTTCGGGCTCCAAACGAAGCTCGCTTGGTCCCCCCCAAAACGGCAAAACCGCACCATGCAAACGAAGGGACCTGGTGGGGACGTCCGATTCCAAGGCTGTCAGGGACTATGGGAGGGCCATCGAGCTGGATCCCAATGCCGGAATTGCATTCCATGGCAGGGCTTCAGCCAAGCTCCTTGGAACAAAGGTGCCATCTTAGCAAATTCCAGTATGCTGCTGATGCATGCTGTACAACAGCAGCCCCCACGTGGACGCGGTATCCAATGGACGAACAAACCTACGACACGACCGATAGATCTCCATAATATGAGAAAACCGTGGACTCCAGCGCCTTCGGCCCCTTCTCCCGTCCTTCCACCCCTCCATCTCTCCAAAGTCTCGCCCTCCCCCAAAAAAGCTCCGCACGCCATCCCCCCTCCCTCAGGTTCAAACTGGGCCTCCACGAGGACGCCATCGACGACTACGACCGGGCGCTCCAACTGGACCCCTCGTCCGCCCGCGCCTTCTACGACCGGGCCTCCGCCAAATTCCGCCTGGGTGCTCTTGGATGGAAGGGTCGCGGTTTCGGGTCTTGGGCTGGGAAAACCGAGGTGCAACCTGGTGCAACGGGTCTTGGAAGGGTCTTGTTCCATCTTGTTCCACACCCTGAGCCAAAGGAACTGTGCTGACGGCTCCGGAAACATCTTGAGATTAGGATCCCTCTTAGCATGGGTGTCGCGTAGTTCGTGGGATGAGATTCCCGCCTCTGCTCAGTGGAGTTGCATAAAGCTGAAACGACTGTTGTGACCAGTGTAGCGACCCAGGCGTTTGGCTTTTGGGGCTTTTGGGGGCAGATGACGCCACTGACAGATGACAGGAATCCCAATCCTACCCGAAAATGCGCCACAACGACTCCAAAGATCAGCAATGGGTTGCATGCGACGCACTCGTCGTGGAACAGAAGAGACGTGGTCCAGGAGTCACAGCTCGGGGTGGTGTTTGGTCCCCAAGTGAGTGGATAATAGGCACCCCTAACCTCCATTAAGCACCCCTTTGTGACTGCTGGGTATTGAATGTTTTTGATGGGTTTGGGATCCTCCGACATCTCTTAGAGATTCTCTTGGCCCCCCCCCGATCACTCGCACGGTCCTGAAATATGGCTGTGGGTCAAAACACCCCCAAACCCCCCCAAACCAGCATAGGTTGACCTCCTTAATAGTCCTTTCTGTTCATTTTTGGTGGTCAACCAAATATGTCTTTTCGATGCTCCAGGGAGGCCTGGTGCGTGAGAAACACCACGACGAAGCTCGATGGTCGAAGATTGACAGATGTCGACAGGCTGTGGAACATTTTTTGTTCCTGTTCCGCAGATCGGGTTGGTGTCTTCTGAGGCTTGCATGAAGGGGCCATTGAAGACTATGATCAGTCCATCGAGCTTGACAGCAGCTATGCAGGCACCGTTTTCTTTTTGTAGTCGCGGGTTTTTCGGGTCGCAAGCTCAAGGATTAGCCTCACCTGGACAAATGAGAATCGAAGTATAGAACTCATACTACACCCGTTTAGTAGAGAAGAGTCGTGGTCTTCCAAGAGGCTAGTGCACTTCCATGGTTGTTGGAGGGTAGATCATATTTCCCCATGTTTCACCTGTGAAACGCCGAGGAAAGGTTCTTCTAGCCGGCTGGAAGAACTTGCAATCATACCCCCTTTGGTGGGAGATTTGTTGAATATGTTTAAACTCTTTGACCAGCTTCGATTTCTTTGCTTTCTCCCTTCTCCCTCTTGCGCAACTTTGTTTTACATTCTGCTGTCTTTGTTTCTTTCTCCAGACCTCTTTCATGTTCTTCCCACGGTGCCATTCAGTCATTGATGCACCATGAAGACGCAAACTCTCATTCATCCTACCCAGGCAGACTTCGGCAAATGGAACAACGTCCAATATAACCAAACTGTACGGGTCCTTTCACCATCCTCAGGTTTTGGTAGTTCGATGTTCTCAGTTTCCAGTGCCGGGAACTCCGATTTTCGTCCTCTCCCCGTTTTCGGGAGAAAACAAGATCATCGACTTGGCCCGAGAGAGGTCGAAACCACGAAGCGCGTGGACACGACCGCGTCTCAGGTGCGTTTTGCAACCGTGCCTTGGCAAAGCGGAAGCTGGGACGTCACCAGGAAGCTCTGGCAGATTGGAAGAAGACGCTGGCGTTAGATCCGATTCTTGGTGTTTTTTCATGTTTGTTCATGTTCCCCCCCTCAGTACTCAGGCTCCGACTGGCCAAGGTTGAGTATAAACTATCACAGCCTAGAGAGCTGAGGAGGTGTACTTTTTGGCCATCCTGACTTATTTGCCTTTTCATCGAGAAAAGTAGACCAAAAAAGGCGGACATGTTGCATAGTTGGAACATCTAGGTATACTTGGGAATAGTTGTCACTGGAAACGCCTTTGAGGGGATTCGTGGACCCAACCAGGAATTATGCCGCTGATATGCACAAGCTCTTTCAGGCCGGGGTCAGGAACGATTCATCTTCCCAACACGACATGTCATTTGCCAGTATCAATGTGATGCCTTTTGAGCCTTTTGATCGGCAGCAATGGAGGAGAAGCAAATGCCATACAATCACCGCACCTACAAGTCACCAAGAAGAAGAAGCGGTGCCGGTGCTAACCCCCACATCTCCAAAGAACTTCTCAAGGTGGCACACCTTTCCCCCATCTCTCGTGCAAAGCCACTTTTGGGGGACGAATGCCTTAAAAGGAAACAGACGAAAACCAGCGGCCGATCCACGAAAACCCTGTACCACTGTGACAGGTGAAGACTGACGGCTGAGTGGCGTTCGAGCCGAGGCATGGGCGCCCGGGCGCCGCAGTGGCGTTCGACTCGGGCGCCGCGGTGGCCGCCAGAGTCGATCGGCCAGAAAAGACCCTCTGGGGTTCAAGACATTGGGTGGTCTGATGCCAGTGGCTTTGGAGGAAAGAGAGGTACTCTGAGATCCGAAGACTCTTGAGTCACTCGAGCACGAGCACGCTGCACAAGCTGAGACTGCCGCTTGCCCTATAAGCTCTTGGAGATCAGGTGTGATCTTCACGGCCAGCTCGTGGTGCAGGTTCACCTGCGAAAAACATCGATGTCAGTTCTCCGAACATCGGGATAGGAACAAGGGCATCGTTACGAACGGAGCAAGAAGCTACTAGTAGCAAAGGGCATGTGTACTAGGAGCAAGGACGCTACTACTGGCTCAAGAATGCAGATGTGGAGATGTCTGGTGAAGAACTTCAAGACGAGGATCTCCTTTGTGTGACTTCGCTTCAGCCAGACGACCAGTCCTCTTGCAGCCCAGCCCGCCATGACAGTGAGCATGATCGGCGCTTTTGAAGGACCCGCCGGGTATAGTAAGAGCTGGTTGGCCGGGTTCCCATGCCGCATGAGCTGCATAAGTGCCGAAAGAGAACAGATGTCCAAATGCTTCCGCAGGGTGGGTCCACGACTAACTGATGTATATATATATATACATATGTGTGTGTGTGTGTGTAGAAGATGACCACCAGTTTGGGGTACTTCTTGGTGCACTTAATTCTTCACTGTTTTGCATTATTGCAGCCTGTCAAAGGCTCCCTTCGGCCAACACCTAACAGCATCACCTGGATAATCCTATGGAGCAACCGCGGATAACCGCGGGACAGCAGAAGACCAAACAAAACTGTAACTAGCTTGCGTGAGCTTGCACCTTGGGGGGACGTGGGACAAGGGGTTTATATGTCTATGTAACTGTATGTATTTATGTATATTCATTATAGGATCTATGATCTATGTCCTATGTATGTCTTTTGCAGGCTTCCTACAGTTACAGTAGAATATTGCCGAGCAGATGGTGCAGTCAACCCAGTGTTGGTGAAGGCAAATATCTCCATCTACAACGGGGCAGGGCAGGCAAGGCAGGGGTCGTGCATGTGCCTTTTTTTCGCCGAATGTGTGGACATAGCAAAGTGTCTCTTCTCTACTTCGACTTTACAACTTTACCTTACCGTGGAGGGCGCCGTCATGCTTTTAGAGGAGTCTTTGTCATCCCTACCGTTGCAGTGAACCCTATCTGTAGAATCAACAGTAACAGGATATAACTGGATGATTGATTCAAGGCTAACCCATAGTCTCCACTTATACACATTGGTCGTACATGCATACATGTAGTTAATTTTGCATTCAAACAATATAAAGGCATATCAAAGCCAACGCACCTGCACCTGGTTACCTCTTTGGGACTCCACCCAAGATAGTCACCAGCATCCATTCTTCGCAGGGAAGAGGTACGAGGAGGACCCCGGCCAAGCAACGGCAGTGCTACGTTTTTCTCCTTTTCAACGCACTCGGTGCGTCGATGACGTTCACAGCGACCGCAGAGACTGGACAGAAGAAAACACGACAGACTGAATTCAAAGCCCTGAGATGCCAACGAAAGAAGAGGATCAGTTTGCTGCCGCGAATGACCAGTTGCTGCGCCAGTCATGGCATGCCGGTTGAAAACGCGGAACGGCCTTCGCCTCATAGCGGCACCCGCAACCGGGCGTGGAGCATCTGAGCGGCGTGGAGGGCGGCCAGAGCGCGTAGAGATGATGCGCTTACTGTAGACTTATTCCATATATTATATAGATCGAGTTGTCTAACTTGGAGTTATCTTATATTTCATGGAATCAAGACCATCTCATGGACTTCCACCTAATGTAAACTAATTGATTGACCAACTACTGTAAATAACCCTCCCAAAAGAAGACTAAGAGGTTGTTCAATCCAATGGGGGGGTTACCAATCAAGAGAACTTGGGTCCTGGCAAGTGAGGCTGTTTCCAGAGCAAGGCCAGTCATATTCTCTTGTGGGAGGGCATGTGGCTGTATGAAAGGCGTTTTTCTCCCAGGCATGTTGCACAATTCTGCATGTTCAGTTGAGAAGACTTACATGTTACAGTAGTTATTATATCTCTATCTATTGTTTGTGAGGATGCTACCTGACATGTACCATGTTTCTACTGCGAAAGTTGTCGAACCCGCAACTCGGGCGCTCACATCTGAAACTCGGGTGGCTGATTCTGCTGCGTAAATTCAAAAAGTGCTGGAAACCGCAAAGCATTTTGTGAGGGAGCACGTGGTTTTTAAACATTGTTGTGCACACAGTGCACCGCAGTATACTCTATTTGGCAGGTGCAAACCAATTCTACTTGGACGCGGCTTGTTCACAACTATATAATTCTTTGGGGAAACTGGAGTGCTTCTTCAGGAGTGCTATCGATCCCTACTTTTTTAGGACCTCACCGATGTGGAACCTCACGGCCATGGCGTCACCGCTCTTGAGAACGCATCTTTTTCGGGTGGTTGTGATTGAGTCACGTGAGCAGTATCAAGTTTCCCCTCAATTGACATTGGTTCCTTTGGACATCCCCACCTTTTGGGATCAATGTCCGAGAGGCTCCAACAAGTGTTGTCATGATTGTGTCCCAGCAGCAGGGGCAGCCGTCTTCGCCCTGCCCTGGGGCAGCCGTCTTCTGCGCCGGAGCGACCGCGTGACTCTCCAGACCTTCAAGAAAAGATGCCCCCTCACGAGCCATGTGGGGATGGCCCACCGCGCCCTTCACCGTCTCGTTTCGTCCCGGTCATTCGCCGCGTCCCGCGCGCGGCCTGACCCGGCACAAGCGTGCGCTGAATGCAAGGAAGAAGGATGTACTCCTGGTAGGGCGGCAGGTCCGGAGTGCCAAGTCCATCCAATTCCTATATATCTTTATTTTCGGGGGTGTCTATGAATCACCCTCTCCAAGAATATTCTAAGGCCATGCTTTCTTCCGCTCTGTGGTCATCTCACAGAGCGGGTTCTTTTTCGGCGTGGGCAATTCCATCAGATGGTCGGTTTAAACTGCCCTCCCATTTTCCTCCAGTCGATCTTTGTTTGGCGACCGTTTTTACAAGAATTATCTCCCCCTGTGTCATGCGGTCCAATAGTGTGATGGAGTTGCTACTTGAGCCGCATTTGGGGTCAAGTTGTTGATAGACACCATGAGCGGCTGCGCGTCGGATCCCTAGATGGGGGACAAGGCTTTGCCCGACTTGGAACACCTTTGGTTCTACAACACTTTGCTTCTAGCGACCTGGATCTTTCTCTGGTTCTGGAGGATGAGTCGCGCAGAGTGGAAAGGATCAGAGGGTGGACTCCAGAATTGGGAGGAAGAAGATCTACCACCCCTGGAGCCGATTCCAGAGATGCAGAGCCCAGATGAAGACACCCAGTTCACGGACCCAGCTCACGGACACCCAGAGGAAGCTCCAGATCCTTTGAGCCCGAGCCGCAGTGAAGTGAAGGTGGCTTGGAGCAAGCTTCAGGCAGGTCTGACTGCGGCCAAAGAGCTGCTAGCAGCTACTCAGTGGGGCTATAGGCAAGAAGAAGAGGATGTGGAGGAGGAGGAGGGCAAGCTTCTTGAGCCTGAGATTGACAACAACTCCGCCGAATGGGGCAACATGGCACGAGCGAAGACCAAGGAAGCCGAAGAACAAGGTGAAGCGTCAGAGCGACAGAACGATGCCTTCATCCCATCGAACCTCATCTTTACGCCCGACGAATACGACGAGTGGCAGAGCGACGATGAGATCTTCATACCTTCGAACCTGGTCTTTCGGGAAGAAAACAGACACCTAGGTGATGGTTTCGGCAATTTTTACTTTCAATATTTTACATGGGGATATCTTTGGATGACTGAACCAGCTGACAAAAACTTTTCAAAGTGACGTGAAACCACCAACCAGGAGAGTTCTCAGTTCCACCGGGCTCTGGAAGCACGAAAGGTGCCGAGGACAGAACAGACGCCCAAGAAGCCAGCTTAACAGCACAACAGGCAGAACGGGGTTCTATGGAACCCTCACATGCCGAAGAAGGCAGCGTGACAGCACAACAGGCAGAACAAGGTTCGAAGGAACCCTCAGAAGCCGA